AAGAAGGAAAAAAAAAAAAAAATTACCCGCAAGTCATTTGGTAGCAACTATGGGTAAGCTTGACCAAACTCCGACACTGTTGGCACTGCCGCCACCTCTTATCACTCGCCAGCCTATGCAACGTTAAATCCTCCGAAAAATCCTCTCTCTCCTCTTCCGGCAAACTTTGGTACTCCTCGCAAGTCATCGAAGAGTGCCAGCGGACCCCACAGACGATACACACGAGCCCCCCACATACAGTGCACTCCGAGCAGCCATTCTCCGAGTCATTTGTATCAATCAAACCCGAACAGCTCGTATAAGGACAAAAGATTTTATCCAAGCCCAAAAGGTTTGCTTCCTCGAGTGCCTTCTCCAAAGACTCGAAACTCACCACGGGCAGAAAAGACGAGCACTCGTTGATCGAGACTCGGTACTTGCAGTTTAGGTGAGGGCATTGGATGGGGATTTGGGCGGTCTTTAATTTTTTCTCGACGTGAGTTTTCATGCAGTGTGAACAAAACCTGTGGGAGCATTTAATCGAAAGCATCATGGGCTGGAGCTTTTCCTGGCAGCAGATGGAGCAAGTCTCTGTTGTGGTGGGCCCACCTTCCTCGGGAGGTGAGGAGACTATTCCAATGGCAATTCGGGCTAGTTGGGATGCTTTTTGCAGATCGGGTTTTGGGATAAGTTTTAGGATGAATTTTTCAAAATGGCTGGTTTGTTCGGTGATCCTTTCTCTAAGAGCTAGGAGAAGAGGGCTATCTACGGCATTGTGTAGGGTTATCTGCAAGCATACACACAATAAATTCAACTTCGCATTTCATAATAAAAGCAGATTTCAAGTGAGAAGAACAAAGAACGAATTTTTAGATAACTTAAATGCAAACTTATGCTTTTTAAGTCTGCATATACTGTTAAATCTGATTTGATTTTTCATACATTTATCAATCAAACAGCTTATTAGAACAAAGCTCTTTAGAGAAATTCTGCATTTGGTAACTGATTGCAAATAATGATTATCTACTTCAAGCTACTGATTCTCTCATTTTATAACTACCGAATCGAGATTACAATTAGATCTGCAACACTTGAATGGAAAGGAAATGAAATTAGCAATAATACTGAGATTCTCACCTGATCATATAATATTTGAGAATCAGTAAAGGCCACGACACGCCAGATATTATTCTGAATAGCAACAGACAAACCATCGAGCAAAGCCAAGTATTCGGCAATCAATTCCTCCACATAGAAATCGAGCTTCTTCTGCACCCGAATAGGGGAATCGTTGCCCGATTTCTCCATGAAAACCCCAATTCCAGAAAGTTTCGAACCAGAAGAATCACTGGGCCCATCAGCAGAAACGCCTTTGAAATATAGTTTCACCGAATGTTCATCGAGAGTATCATCTGAACCAACTTCAATAAGTTCTTCATCTTCTTCCTCCTTCAACTCATCCTCGTCCTCGCAACAGCTCCTGAAGTCTTCTTCATCTTCTTCAAGCTTAAATTCAAAAGGTTGGGCTATGCAGCTACTGTCATCAAGAACTCGTTCTTCCACCATTGTTAAGGGCTATTTCCTCAAATTTCCTCAAACAATCCAANCTCTTCCAACAATTAGAGGGAAGGGAAATATAAACATTCACTATAAAAGGGAAAATAAAAAATAAAAGGATGATCTTTCGAAAATAGTCAGAGTTTCCAAATAACTACCTTCAAATCCTCACCGGTAACTCTGCACGAACATTCATGAAAAACCCATCAAGCTCAAGATCCAAGATTTCGAAAGAAAGTGAAGAAGGAAAAAGGTATTGAAACAAATTTCCTTTCTTCTATGAAAAAAGTCAGCCCAAAACAGTAAAAATCACTGCTGAACTTGTGTTTTCAAAGCTAATAAATCCTCCAACAAAATCAACATAAGTAAAACCGTAAACTCAAAATGTAAGGCAAAAAAAAAAGCAGCAATATTTAGATATAATAAAACCAAGAAATCAATCTTGTTCGGAAGAATTGATTCACCTGCTGATGTCCTGACAGAGTATCCGATATGAATTTTTTTATTTGTTAATGTACACAAAAATTCACAGATTATAAAACCCTAATCTGGCAATTCCTCAGTTGTGTCGCCATAGAAGTTTCTTTCTCATAATTTTCTTTTCTGGATTTGCAGAGAGGGTTTTAATCTGTTACTGATGATGTAAATTGGATTTGCTTTCTGCCGGAATTTCTTTATTTTAGATGCGTCCAATTTATTTTTTCCTATTTTGTAAACGTGATATTTCGGGCAATAATGGCATTTGGCAATTAATAGGTAAATACTTATATTTTTATATAAGTTATTTATTTCTATTTATGAAAAGTGTAGATTTGAGTGAGATTTTTTTTTTTAAAGATCTTTTTGTGATTTAATTCTTCCTAATATAGGAGTGCTTATTAAGATATGTGTAAAATTAAAAATAATAAAAACAAACAATCATTTTAATTTTCAATATTTTTTTTAAAAACTATATTACTACTTCTATTAAAAATGACACTTATCAAGACATGATTTCCAATATATTATATATAAAAATTGATAATAAATAAAAAAATATTAACTTTTAAATCTGTTATAAGTTTAGTTAGTAGTTGTGTTATAATTTTGAAAGAAATAAAATAAAGATTGGGACAAATATTATGCCTTATAACCATACATATAATAGAAAATGTAACATAATTAATGTTTTTAAAATGATAATAAATATCCAGTATATTTATATTTATGTATATTCGAGGCCTAGTTATTTTTTGATTGAAAATAAATTAAAATGGATAATGATAAATCATGAAAAATTGTCATATATGATCTCGAAACATGCAAAACTACCACTTAAACTTAGCAAATTTGAAAATTATACATATGACGAATTTATATAAATATTAAATTTGACTGAGAGTTGATGTGAGGATTTAATTCATGTTTGGATATGAAAATTTTTGGTTTTGTTGGATTTCTTGGTTTGGTTTGGTTAATTTTGAAAAAGGTAGTATGGTTAATTGTTAGTGGGTATATTAAAATAATATTTAAAATAAAATAATTAAAAATTTGATGTGATGGTTAGTTAAAATATTGTGAGTGGATGAATAGTGAATTAAGGTTGATGTGGTGTGTATGAATGTTTGATTGATATTATTTAATTATATTGATAATATTGATAATAGTAGAGTTGAGTTAAAATTGAGTTAAAAAAAATGATTGAGTTAAAATGTTGATTTTTTTTTTTTAGACTTCTTGTATACAAATATGCTCTTAGTATACCTGGGATTTTTTTAAAACCTTTTAATTTAACTAAAATTGTTGCAAACCTTAAATTAGAAGACCGAGTTTGATGTAAGTTTTTGTAATGTTGAAATCTAAAGATTTTATATATGCATTTTATTTTTTTAAATTTCAATAATAAATTAGATACCATATAAATATTAATAAATTTTAAAAATATCAAATGAATATTTTAATATTATAAGATTTTTAATACATCCAATTTAAATATACCAAAACTCTTAAAATTTAAGTGGTTTTTAAAAATTCAGGATAAACACAT